AGTGCAACAACGGGTGTGTCATCTACTTTAACGTCAATAAGGTTGCGTCGAGTCGGCAGCATGGCAGAGGATTTGGCGGGCAAGTGGTCGATGCAGCATCACCTCCGGGAGCTGCATCATCTAGTTTTCCCGTGGCACGTGGTCAGTCGGCGACGTTGGTCGGTGAAATTGGGGTGAGCGAGACGACGGGACGACGGGAGAGCGGTGAACGGGACTGGTGAGCATGCGGAGATGGAGAGCGATGACGATATGGCGGCAAAAAAGGAACGTCTTCACTGGTGGCCTGAGGTGACTCCCGGTAAGTTTGAAAGTGTCCATGATCCCTCTCTGGCCGATGGGTGTACCCATAGGATGCCTGATGCCAATACCACCAAGTGTTACAATGGCGGGCCACGTGTCCGATACGGTGGCAGTTGAAACAAATCGGGCGATCGCCAGCAGTCCTCCACTCGGCTGGATGGCGAGGGCGCGCGCCGGAAGGTTTTTGCTTTGGGCGTACGAAACAGGGGGTCGACGACGGTTGATCGGCTGAGAGGGAGCTGTAGTGCACTCGGAGGCTAGTCAAGCATTGGAAAGCTCTCGTTGCACAATGGCATGTACCAGTGGCACCATCTGTGGGCTACAGTCACATGCATGGGAGCACGTGGACGCAGGAGACAGAGCTTCAAGTTCACGTCTGATGATCTTGGTCAAGTGCTCTGCAGTTAACGGCGTCTGTAGTGTAGGCCTCTCTTCGCACGGCCAGGTTGCTGCTGTGTTTAGTAGTCGAGTGAAATTATGGGCGATACGTCGACTTTTTGCGGCCTCCAAACGCTGGTACTCCTTGATGATGGCATCGACCGTGTTGCAGTCCTTGCATATGAGAAGGTTGAATGCATCATCTGCAATGCCTTTCAATATGTGAGCTACTTTTTCAGTTTCTTCCTTACCGTTGTCGGCTTTTCGGCAAAGGGCAAGCACGTCCTTTATGTAAGTCACGTAGGACTCTGATGACGTTTGCGCACGAGATGCCAACTCCTTCTTGGCCGCTGCCTTTCTGCCAACAGCCTTGCCGAAAAGGGCGCGCATCTTTTCTTTGAACGCATCCCAGCTTCCAATTTCACCTTCGTGGTTCTCGAACCACACTTTTGCTGTTCCTTTTAAGTAGAACAGGATATTGACTAACATAAGAGTTTCATCCCAGCGATAATTCTTACTTGTTCGTTCGTACAACGGCAGTCATTCTTCTATGTCGACATTATCCGTGCCACAGAACGTGCCAGGATCTTTTAGCTGCGGAAGGACAACAGTTGTTGTTGTTGTCACCTCTGCGGGAGCCAGTCCCTGGTTTGCCATGGTGGAAAAATTCATGCGTCGGCCACTGCGGAGCTCCATTATATCATGTTGTACCCAGCACCTCCACCAAATGTCACGGGGGTGAGAGAATGAATGCAATAAATATATTTACAAAATATACAGGGAGAGTCAGAGGAAGCTGCAGCCAAGATGGAAGAACAGCAGCAACAACAACATGAGCACGGTCGCTTTCATCGTCTTCGTCGTCTATGATGATCTTTCGATGCCGATGTCTTGTAACAATATTTTGAGTGAAAAAAAATATTTCCATGTACTCACTGACATTTACTTCAAGCGATGTAAGGTTAGTCGTAGTTGAAAGATTTCAAGCAAATATTTTCATTCACAGGCGTTTGATGCGACGTTATATATATCAGCGGTGGTAACAAACTTGCACACGTAACGAAATATATTAAGGCAGTACCATTGTGAAATATCGTATATGATACTACTATTGTGATAGTATCTCCTATTCGTAGCTCTAACACTTCTTGCTCGAGCACTTTGTATTGTATTAACACTTGAGGCCTACATTATTTCAAACAGCCTTTGCACTTTTACAGTGAAAGCTGTTATGAGATCACAACTCGGGTCACTAGCAGTTGTCCGCCACCGCCACCAGTGTCCGTAACGACCTCACGCGAAAGTAGAAAAAAAAGCTTGAGCGACCTATAAGCATCGCCTCTCAAAATTCGCAGATCCCACGTACAGTGGGAATCAATGAAATGCGAAGCACGAATAAGAAAGGCTTATATGTACCTTTAAATTCAGCACAGCGTTACGAGGTGGAGGTAAACGATGCCGTACATGACTTCCGTGTCATGATTATTATGTTTGGTAATGTCGTTTACCTTCGTACTATATTCACGTCACGTGATACCAAATATAGTATATGTAAAGCTAGCGAAACGGCCGCGAGCACGCTATTAGCATGCTATGTTGCCTTGTTCTTACATGACACGCGTGTCGGGATTGTCATGTTTGCACCAGTCATATATTTCGTCATCTATTCACGTCAAGTAACACGAAATTTGCTATATGTAAAGCAAGCAAAACGGCTGCGAGCGCATCATGAAGGGCCCAATTATAAACTCTAATATAGCGTTGACGCACGCGCACACTGGGCACAGCGACGCTACGTTAGCAAAACGCGAGTGCTCTATAGTCTTACGCCAGGTGCCACCGGCACGACCAGCGTCCGTCGGCGCGGCCCGATGGCAACCGGTGCGAAATTCGCGCCGATCCGTTACCCAGACAACACTGCGTCTCCCTCTTTTCGTGACAGAGTGACGCCGGACGCGCTTAAGCACCCATGCGTCATAGCAACGCAGTGCGGCGCGCGTCTGCGAGTATACGACAGGACCGGTGCCTGGCGTGGCAACGCTGTCGTGACGCGACAAAATGAACGCCAGTGAGCACGCACACCGCGTCACGTCAAAATGTATTGGCGCCCTGACTGTGGCATGTAGTCATGTTCTCACATGACACACATTTCATGATTATTATGTTTGCACCAGCCACTAACCTTCGTCATTCATTGACGTCTCGTAATACCAAATTTGGCATATGTCAGGCTAACGAAATGGCCGTGAGTGCATCATGAGTATGGCCTGTAGTCACGTTGTTACATAATACGCATGTCGTGATTATCATGTTTGGAAGTGTCATTTACCTACGTCGTCCATTCACGTCGCGTAATACCGTGTTTGGTACATGTGAAGCTAGCGATACGGCCGTGAGCGCATCATGAATGTAGCATGTAGTTATGTTGTTACATGTCACGCATGTCATGTTTATCATGTTTGCACCAGTATCATACCTTCGTCATCTGTTCACGTACTGTAATACCAAATTTGGTATGTGTGACGCTAGCGAATTGGCCGTGAGCGCATCATGAGCGTGGCATGTAGTCATGTTGTTACTTGACACGCATGTCATTATTCTCATGTTAGGGTCTGTCCCTTGTGTTCACCATGCAATCATGCCATACCATAAGAGTTTTGCAACATGCCATGTAAACGAAACCACTGAGAGAGCTCCAGGACCATGAAATGGAAATCATTGTATTCATGACAAGATTTTTATGTTATGACTTGACAAATATTTTCTTCATACTGTCGTGTTATTCCATACCAAGTTTGGTATCGAAACCATTATCGAAACGGCCAGGAGAGCTAAATGTCGTAGGCGGATAGATAGATAGATAGATAGATAGATAGATAGATAGATAGATAGATAGATAGATAGATAGATAGATAGATAGATAGATAGATAGATAGATAGATAGATAGATAGATAGATACGCTTAATGTCGACGAGGCTCGATAAGAATTGCTTCGCATTTAACAACTTGCACCAATGACACAGTTGGGCTTTAACCCCGGTCCTCTGGTTGCCAACCCAGTATTCTACCACTGATCTAACCGGTGCTTGTGACTTGTTGTCAAACTTGCCTTAGGCAGACTTGATGTCGAGAAATCACTCGCGTTAATACAACTTATGAAGCGTTTCAAAACAGAAAAAGAACAAGCAGTCGTCGCACTATGTGGATAGTGTGACGAGTGGGCCGTCCAATGGTCCAACCCATCCCAAAAGCTTATTGTTGTTCCCCTATTAACTGTGGCGCATAGCCACTTCCCATAAATTGTCATGGTCGTTAGCCACTGCATGAAAAATTGGCACAAAATGCCTTGCAAATATTTAGCGGATACCACCCTTCTCAAAAGAATGATGAAAAATCGCATAGCGAATGACGGCCTTTTACCCAAATGTATCTGTTAATATTGACCGAGTGGGTATCAAGCAAGTGTGCTTCCAGTAGTTAACCAATGCGTGTTTAGAAAAGGCTCTGAAGGGCCGCTCTTCTAACTTTCGTGGTGACTGTGCAGCGCCTTCCGCGCAGGCCTGGTGGTTTTTTGGTCAGGATGTATAACAGGCTCAAAGCAGCTATATTGCATTGTGACAATATTCGTCGTTCTCCAACTTTGAAAATCTCGACGTCGGAAATGTGGAAACACTATGCGTTCATAAAATGAACAGTAAAAAACATCAAAGTATTAAAATGCTGAACCGCAATATTTTTATGTTGATAATTATATGCAGAGCATTTACCGAAGAATTGAAAGTACAAGTTGCATTTCGACGTGGCAAATGATGACCTCCAGTGAAAGTGATGGGGAAGTAAATAATTATTGTACTTTTTAGTTCCGGCACTGCGACCACGTTCTGACAGTTGTAGTGTATTTAAAATGAAAAGAAACACACTTAAAAATCTGATCTACACGTCATTGACAGGATAGAGTTATGCATTTCTCACTAACATTTGTATTTTCAATACGTTTCGAAGCCTCAACGTACATACGTTCCCAAGCCATGGAGCTCAGCCATGCTACTTCAAAAGTTGCAGAAGCACCACCTCCTCCTTCAATAACCCATTTCTCTTCCTCTAAGTCGAAAGTACACAAACAATATTTGTTTAGGAAAGAGTCTACAAGAGAGAAGAAAAAGATGGCGATCAGTGGAACCTTTTACACTCGCATGCAGCGATATTAATATAGAATTCCGGAAAGAAGGCGATGCCATGCAGTGCGGCTTCATTAAGCTTATCCTTCAACCTTTAGTACGGGAGTATTCTTGATAAAACAAGTCTGGATCTACCAAATCACCTGCGAGTCGTCCTGGTAAGGCCCAAGGTCGGGGTTCAGGTCTAGCATATGGTGGCCTTTTGCGAACGATACCAGGCCGAGGAGCAAGACCAGGAGCGTCGTCTGAACAGCCATGGCCGAAACAAGTAGTTTCCACTGTGCAGCTCGAGTTTTCACAAGGTGGTGAACTTTCTAGGCAGCAGCGATTTATACACATGGCAGAGTCGCAACTCGCGCATCGCAGATGTTATGTGTCTTCCTTTTTAATGAACGGGAAACTGCACGTCAAGTACGACCCTACATGATCTGACAGAGTACACGTCCCTGCAGTGATTAGTTTCATTTATATATATACATATAAGTATTCAAGGCAGGGGAAACAGAACACGTACTGCTCTATGACGGAGTAGGTTCACTTCGTACGTCGGTCACAAGAGTAGCATTTACACGAGAATGATGTCAGTAAATTACAGTGCGGCAACACGCTGCGCCTCGAATCGAAGTCTTCTTTTTTTTCTGAAGAAGAGAAATACGTAATTTTCGGTAATTTGTCGGTAATTTTATAAGCCGACCGAAACGCTTAGCGTGTGGATATATATATATATATATAAGGGAAAGAAGTGTATACCTAAGGGCTCGTTTTTCAGTGTTTTAACACAATATTAATGAGATAGAACAGAGAGTAATGCCAAGGAATGTACAGGGGAAGTTATTAGAACCAATGGAATGTAAATAAGAAGAAACAAAAGTACATGAAAAAATAACCGGCCATGAGCAGGACCTTCGAATAACGCGTTCGATGCTCTAACCACTGAGATACCAAAGCGGCCTTCTCTCCATCCACTTTTTTGGGTTTATATGTGAATTTAGAAGTAGGAGTGACAGTCAGCGCCATCTATAAGCCAAACGGCGAGTGTGAAAACACTCTTATGCGCATGTTTTGGCGTCACGTAGCACGTGAACTTATTATGAGCGGGCAGCTGATTAATTGTCCCTCTTATACAACCTAAACACACCAAGTCTGCCAGTACTAGACCCTCGTTCAATGAAATAAGTGAAAGAAGTGTTTACCTAAGGGCTCGTTTTTCCGTGTTTTAACACAATATTAATGAGATATAACAGACAGTAATGCCAAGGAATGTACAGGGGACGTTATTAGAACCTATGGAATGTAAATAAGAAGAAAAAAAAGTGGATAAAAAAATAACGAGCCGTGAGTTATATCTCATATATATATATATATATATATCGACGTTCTTGTAATTAGATGACAACTCGCCAGCTCGTCAGCCGCAGAGCAGCGACTCCTGTTAATTAAATAAGTGACAAAACTCAGCGTATGGAAGGCTCTCATGCTAACCAACACCCTCTCCCTCCGCCCTCTTGAATTGCATTCCCAATAAATTGTTTCGAAATGTAAGTAATATAATTTGGGTGAAAAAATATTTCTATGCACTCACTGACATTTAAATAAAGCGAAGTAAGGTTAGTGGTAGCTGAAAATTTTCTAGCAAACATTTTCGCTCACAGGCATTTGATGTTACGTTCTATAGATCAACCGCAAGTGGACATGGAGAAAACCGCAAGTGGACCAGGAGGAGCCCTAATGGCGAAAATAAGAAAGAAATAGACTTTATAAAGAGTGCACAACCAGGAATCGTGCAGTATGTGGAAGTGGTTGGCAAGGTACGATGCAGAGACCATAGAATGGTACGGTCTCGAATTCGCCTAAACTTGAAAAAGGAACGACAGAAACTGATACGCAAGAAGCCAATCAATGAGCTAGCACTGAGAGGGAAAGTACAGGAATTCAGAGTGTCGCTGCAGAACAGGTACTCGGCTCTTAGTGAGGAAACAAACCTTAGCGTAGATACAATGAATGATAATTTGACGAGTATTATTACGGAGTGTGCAGTGGAAGGTGCAGGCAGGGCAGTTAGACAGAACACTGGCAAGCTTTCCCAGGAAACAAAAAACCTAATTAAGAAGCGTCAAATCATGGAAGTGTCAAGTACAACAGACGAAAGAGAACTGGCAGAGCTTTCGAAGTTGATTAATAGACGTAAGGTGTGCGATGTAAGAAGGTATAACATGGAGAGAATTGAACACGCTCTGAAAAACGGAGGAAGCGTCAAAGCAGTGAAGAGTAAACTTGGGATAGGAAAAAGTCGGATGTATGCACTAAGGGACAAAGAAGGCAAAATAACTACCAATATGGATAGGATAGTTAAAATAGCGGAGGAGTTTTACAGAGATCTGTACAGTAGCCAAGACAACCACGACCTTAATACTATAAGAACTAGCAGCAACCCAGATGACACCCCACCAGTAATGATAGACGAAGTCAGAAAAGCTTTGGAGAGCATGCAAAGAGGCAAAGGTGCTGGTGAGGATCAGGTAACATCAGATCTGCTGAAAGATGGAGGACAGATTGTGTTAGAAAAACTAGCCACCCTGTTTACGAGGTGTCTCCTGACGGGAAGAGTACCAGAGTCTTGGAAGAACACTAACATCATCTTAATACATAAGAAAGGAAATGACAAGGACTTGAAGAATTACAGGCTGATCAGCTTGCTCTCTGTAGTGTACAAGCTATTTACAAAGGTAATTGCTAACAGAGTAAAGAAAACAATAGAATTCAATCAACCGAAGGAACAAGCAGGATTTCGAACAGGCTACTCAACAATTGACCACATTCGTACTATCAATCAGGTAATAGAGAAATGCTCAGAGTATAACCAACCACTATACATAGCCTTCATAGATTACGAGAACGCATTTGATTCGGTAGAAATATCAGCCGTCATGCAGACACTGCGGAATCAGGGCGTAGATGAAGTATATATAAACATTCTGGAAGAAATCTACAGGGGATCAACTGCTACCATAGTGCTTCATAAAAAAAGCAACAGAATACCAATCAAGAAGGGTGTAAGGCAGGTGGACACAATCTTCCCAATGCTATTTACCGCGTGCTTCCAGGAGGTTTTCAGAAGCCTAGAATGGGAACAGTTAGGGATAAGAGTTAATGGAGAATACCTTAGTAACCTGCGCTTCGCCAATGACATTGCATTGCTGAGTAACTCAGGGGACGAATTGCAACTCATGATTACGGAGTTACACAAGGAGAGCAGAAAGGTGGGTCTTAAAATTAATCTTTAGAAAACGAAAGTATTGTACAACAACCTCGGAAAGGAGAAGCGCTTCGAGATAGGTAATAGTGCTCTTGAAGTTGTAAAAGACTATGTCTACTTAGGGCAGGTAATAACCGCTGAGCCTAACCACGAGATGGAAGTACCTAGAAGAATAAGAATGGGGTGGAGCACATTCGGCAAGCACTCTCAAATTATGACAGGTAGATTGCCACTATCCCTCAAGAGGAAGGTATATAACAGCTGTATCTTGCCGGTACTTAGCTACGGAGCAGAAACCTGGAGACTTACAAAAAGGGTTCAGCTTAAATTGAGGACGATGCAGCGAGCAATGGAAAGAAAAATGGTAGGTGTAACCTTAAGAGACAAGAAGAGAGCAGAGTGGATTAGGGGACAAACGGGGTTTAAGGATATCATAGTTGAAATAAAAAAAGAGGAAATGGACATGGACCGGGCATGTAGCGCATAGACAGGATAGCCACTGGTCATTAAGGGTAACTAACTGGATTCCCAAAGAAGGGAAGCGGGTTAGGGGGAGACAGAAGGTTAGGTGGGCAGATGAGATTAAGAAGTTTGCGGGTATAAATTGGCAGCAGCAAGCACAGGACCGGGTTAACTGGCGGAACATGGGAGAGGCCTTTGTCCTGCAGTGGACGTAGTCAGGCTGATGATTATGATGATGATGTTGATGATGATATAGATCAGCGGTACCCTACTCACGGTGTAAGATGGAACTTTAGGTGGGGACACTTCTCGGCTATCTTATGGGACGTGATCGGCCAGAGAAAGTAACAGAGATATGCGTTCGTCGGACCACTGCTGGCAGCGCACCTCTCGGCAAGTCAGCGCAACTTAAAAATAAAAAAAATTCACGCACCGTTGCTATGCAACCGGTGAGGGTGGTGGCAACGCCGGCGTTCCGAAAGCGTCGCGTTTTTCATTCACAAAAAAAATGGCAGATCCCACGTACAGTGGGAATCGATGATATGCAAAACAAGAATGAGAAAAGTCGATATGCCACTTTCAAATCGCACAACGTTACGAGGTGGAGGTAAATGATGCCGTACATGACTTCCGTGTCATGATTATAGTGTTTGGATGTGTCGTTTACCTTCAGCATCTATTCACGTCACGTGATACCTAATTGAGTATATGTGGAGCTAGCGAAATAGCCGCAAGCACGCCATGATTGTTGTCTGTTGTCATGTTCTTACATGACACGCATGTTAGGATTATCATGTTTGCACCAGTCATATATTTCGTCATTCATTCACGTCACGTAACACGAAATTTCATATATGTGGAGCTAGCAAAACGGCCGCGAGCACATCATTAGGGGCCCAATATACTCCAATGTAGCGTTGACGCGCGCGCACCCTGGGCACAGCGACGCTATACGTTAGCAAAACGCGAGCACTTTATAGTCCGATGTCAGGCACGACCAGCGCACGTCGGCACGGCCCGACGCTGCATTTCGCGCTGATGGGTTACCCAGACAACACTACGTCTCCCTCTTTTTGTGACGGAGGTACGCTGGACGTGCTGAAACGCGCATGCGTCAAAGCAACGCAGTGCGGCGCGTGCCTGCGAGTATATGGCAGGACCGGCGCCTGGCGTGGCAACGCCGGCGTGCCGCGACGAAATAAACGCCGGCGAGCACGCGTACCGTATTACGTCGAAATGTAATCGCACGTTGACTGTGGCGTGTAGTGATGTTCTCACAAGACACGCATCACATGATTATCATGTTTGCACCAGTCACACACCTTCGCCATCCATTCGCGTCACATAATACCAAATTTGGCATATATGAAGCTAGCGAAACGGCCGTGAGCGCTTCGTTAGTGTGGCATCTAGTCATGTTTTTATATGGCATGGATGTCGTGATTATCATGTTTGTTTGTGTCATTTATTTACGTCGTCCGTTCACGACGCGTAATACCGAGTTTGGTACATGTGAAGCTAGCGAAACGGCCGCGAGTGCATCATCATGCGTAGCACGTAGTCATGTTGTTGCATAACACGCATCTCATGTTTATCATGTTTGCACCAGTATCATACCTTCGTTATCCATTCATGTCCCGTAATACCAAATTTGGTATAACTGAA